ACGGAAGGCTCTACCACAAGGGGGACACAAATAGTCCCTATGAACATTTGGAGTGGAGATGTCTCTAAATTTGTGCATTTCCTGTTTCCTTCCAGCTACTTCAATTGTGCTTTGCTCACAGAGCACAGGGTCTTCTTTGATGTGGACATGCCATGCTGGACAGTCCTGTGCCAGTGTCTCCCATTTCTTACAACAGAGTTCAAAATTCTTCAGAGAAACCTTCAGAGTGTCCTTATATCACTTCTTCTGACCTCCACATAAACACTTTCCTTGTGTGTGGGGGTGGGGGGGATGGTGGCTTCTATAAAATTCTCAAAAGGGTTGATATAAATGGAACACTTTTCAGGTCCCATTAAATTATTTTCTACATGTATATACATACATACAACATACAAGTCAAATATATGGTATAGCTATATGTATTTAGAAGTTATATGCAATGATATACAACATAATACACACATCTATGTATATATATACATATGTACATGCATGTGTGTACGTTGTTCATCTTTCATTTTCAAAGAGTACTAATGATATTACAATGTTGAGGTCAGGGCATATAGTTTGTTCAGTTGTGGTTGATCAGTCCAATTCAAGTTCTGAAGGCTCTACTACAGGTTGGGCACAAGTAGTCTGTTAGAACACTTGGGATAGAGACATCTCTGGATTTGTGCAGCTCATTTCCTTTGCACTACTATGATTCTGTTTTGCTTACGGAGTACAGTGCCTTTTTTTAATGCAGGCACACTTTTACAGAGAACTTACGCAAGACAAGCACTCACAGGGTGGGCAGAAGAAGTGATAGGAGGATACTCTCAAGGTCTCTCTAAAGAACTTTAGTACCAGTTGTGAAATATGGGAGATGCTGGCACAGGACCACCCACTATGTGTATATGTACACACATACATATTACTATTTTTAAAGGCAGAATTATAGTCCCCTCTTCCTGAAAACAATCTTATCTAAAACATTTCCTCTTGCCAGAAATTTGCAATTTTGACAATGAAAGTTACTGTTTTTATTCCAAAATAATAGCTTTAACTCAAAAAACCGCTATAGGAAATTTCAGTGAAGCAACAAATTCTTTCACCTTTTCCTGAACCTGGAGAAGGATGATTTTTTTCCTTGATTCTATTGTTTTTTCCCCTTTAATATAGCTTTACAAATAACATTTATTTTGTGCTATATACCTCCTGTAAAAGAGTAATTTCCTTTAGAGCTGTTATTTCTATTTATGTAGCATTACAGTTCTGTAGCATTCCATAAGCATCCAGTGTTCAAAGACAAGATTGCTACCCTACAGAGTTCACAAGGCATGTTAGATGAAATGCACCCCACAGCCATCATGCACCTTTAAGAACCATATGATTCTAGAATAAAATTTGACCAGTCTACAATTCCCATTCCTTTTACAGGGACCAAGATACACTAAATTTCACCTTTTCAAAAATGCATACCTGACCCTGAATACACCAGCCCAAAATGCCTTTACTAAAATTACAAATACTTCCATTGATGCTTTCCTCTCTGCTCCCCACCCCCATAGGGTTCTTAAATACACTGGAAGCTCCAAATTTCCAAATCACTACAATGAATGGTTTTCACACTTACTTATCTGATGCCCTCCCCTATGATAGCAGTGGTAAATCCAAGTGCATCTTAACAATCATATACTTCCAACTTATCATTTATAGTTTAATTTTATAAGATTAATACTCTAAAAATAACTCAAAATCTGACTCTTCCAGAAAATATGCTTATTTTCTCAATTTCAATCTCTTATTATCTATTAAGAAATGCAAAAATATGTTTCCCTCAAAACTTTATTGAAAGGATACAATATCAGAATTTTTGGAAAATAATTGCAAATTTAATTTCAATACAATAAATAGGAGCAAGCAAGAAGACATAAACCCTCCTCGTGTTGCCTTATTTTTTTTCATAATGTCAACACAAACCTCAGAAATAGCATTCAACAAATATCTTTCTAGCCCCAACTTAAGTATTGTGCTGGGCATTGTTAAGAACACTTCAGTGTGAGATGTGGTCCCTGGGTCTAGTTTAGTTGGGAAGATGAGAGTAATACATGTACACAATAGCAAATAATGACAAAAACTAAATGCCAAATTGTGACATAGGCTGTAAATGCTATATAAACATACTATATAGGAAAGGGAGTTCAGTGAGAACTAAGTAAGGGAAACCTTCATGGAGGCACTAGGACTTGGATCTGTGCAATGAATGAAAAAGCATTTATTAAATGCTTACTATATACAATGCACTATGCTAAATACTAGGGATACTAATTAAAAAAAAACAAGACAATTCCTACTCTCAAGAAGCTTACAGTCTAATGGAGGAGATAACACAGTAGTTTCAGCTATAAGTCAAATGGAAAGGTCCCATAGTCCTTAGAGCATAGGCTCATTTCCACTTATCAAATTCTATCAGTTTCTAATGTTGAATAATTTGACAATGCCAAAGATCGGTGGCAAAAATTTTCTTTACTATCTGTGGCTACAGCATGAACAGAAGCAGTTGCTGGACTGTATCCCCTCTCCAGTAGAGTCCTGGGATGATGGCTGCAGGGGATAGGATTGAAGGAAGGAAGGAGGAAGAGTATACCTATCCCCTAGTCCTTTTTTTGCCCATAATTGGCAGTTGTTGTTTGGAGTGATGAAGTGCCTTCTTCAATTGAGGATTGCTCCCTCAAAGATGACTGTAATAACCCAGTCCAGAAGCAGGTGATCTGGAGAACACTACTTTAGTATTCCTAAGGCACTTGGGTTTAGGGTTCTGGGCTATATCCATCAGGACCTGAGGCAAAATGTTGATGTTCAACACTGCAACAGTAGATTTTCCCCAACGGAATGCCAACTCCCTTTATTTAGGATGTTAGACACCAATGAACCCAATAAAGATGCTATTCAGTGAGGGCAACATTTAGATTTGCCACTTTGTCACAGAAAGCAACTTTCTTCTGGTGCTCTAAATATGGAAGACATTCACTATACCACAACTTTCTTTCTAAAGGACGGCAATTTTCAATTACCTTATAAAATGCCATTGGAGAGCTTTCTTATTCAGCACTTACATATTTTTGTATTATACGACAGTTAAGGGCAGGGACAACACTTGGACTCTCATTCAGATTCGAGACACAATACTTTACATTCAGTAGGTGCCCAATAAATCCTGATTAAATTGAAATATTGTACATGGGTGGGACTAAAAAATGGGGGGATAAAAAATGGTTTTTCAAGAATTGTCATGAGTTTGACATTTAGAAGAATCCAATGAGTCTGAAAGGTCAAGAGGGTGAGAAAGCATATTCCTAAGCAAGAGAATGCCCAGCTCTATAGTTATTCTCAAGCTTCTCACATCCACTTAATGCTCAGCAAGAAACCATATTGTTTTTCCAAACCCACTTTGAATTGTTCAATAATTTATTCTATGGATACTGCTAGAACATCACCATAAGGTGACTAGATTTTCCTAAACTAAAAGGGGGGTACCTTTTTTTGTTTTGTTTTGTTTTGTTCCTTTTGTGTCTTTCAACAAGAATTTTTTGCAAGACTTCCTTAAATGAACATTGTTTTCTTGATGTATTGTAGCAAATTTAGGAGACTCAGTTACTCAAGCCTAAAAGCTGTTCTACTGGTTTACAATCATCCATACAATAGAGTTCACTCTTCTCTATCACTCTCCTCTAACCCTACTGAATCTTCTCTCATACACTGACACCATCTTTCAGCCGGCTCCTTGTACATACTTCCCCAACAAGTCCCTCCCTAGAGACTTCTCTAGTCTCTCAGGCTAATTTTTACTACTATCATCCCAAACCCCACCCTTTCTACTCACTACGTTGGCACTTTCCTTTTTTCAGGCACCCGCGCCAACTATCAAAAGAATTTATTGGGCCCTTATAACGTGCCAAGCAGAGTTAGTAGAGATAGAAAATAAAAAATGAAAGTCTCTGCCCTCAAGGTGCTCATATTCTACTGAGGGAAGCAACAAGTACACATATAAGTTTATATAAAAATATACAAATAAATACAAGGCAATTTGGGGGCAAGGTGAAAAAAGATACTTAATGCTTCTCCATCTAAAAGATTTTGTTGAATATGAAATAACTGCTTCATTACTACCAATTGCAGCAGCATTCAGTTCCCTACGTTTGTTTCAAACATTTTAAGCATTTACCAAAAGTTATTTTAACACTTCAAGCAAAGATTTGGTTGGAAATAAGTTCTTCTATTTTTCCTCCGGTTGCTATTAATTATCTTTAACTTGGATAATCAACAGGAAGGAAAATGTAAAAAAAAAAAATGGCTTACTTGCAAGCTGAAGAATCAAGTTAGGGAACCTTGGGTTTTGGGGTTTTTTTGTGTGTGTTTTCAGTTCCCTTTGTGTCATTCAACATTTATTGAGTGCCTACTTTGTTCCACACACTGTGTTAGGTGTTAGAGATACAAAGATAAAAACTACAGTCCACCGGGTGCTGAAGGAATTGGCATGGGGGTGAGGGATAGCTTATGCGTACATGAGCCCTCGTCTACACAGAAAATTTAAAAAAAAAGTAATTTCTCTTGATGATTAGGGGATTTTATATTCCATAATAGAACTGGACAGACCACGAAGGCTTCAACTGATACCCATATTATTTCATGTCATTTCCCTTTATGTCTCCAAAGGTTAGAAAAACGATATGCAGCAGCATCAAATAAAAACAGAAAGAGGCAGCAGGTCTTGTTGAACAAAACCAGCCACAGGGAAGTTAAGACCATTAACCATTTACAGAATGTATGGTCGATCAGAGGCCACTTCTCACTCAGGGCCTCAAGGACACGCCTGTGGATTCCAAATCCCAGGTCAGTGGTGCAGCTGCCCGGGAATAAAAACAATGGCTATACATTTATAGGACGCTTTAAGGTTGACAAAGCGCTTTACGCCTTTGCTCAGCAGGGGAGCCAAGTTGGGGCCCGGGTGGGGGAGGTCACATCCAGGGGTTGAGAGCCTCTTCTGATTTCGACACAAAAATCTGGCTCAGGCTGAGCTTCTCTCTCTCCCGAAGGTAGGTGACGAGGTGGTAGCGTCTTCTCCAAGTGACCTTGAGCCCGTATTTCTCTTCCGGAGTGTCCACGACCAGCGGCGGCGGGCCCGGCGGAGGGATCTGCGGCCGGGTAAGGTGGATGGGACAGCGCCCCCGCCCTTGCTTCCTCGGGGCAGCAGCAGCGTCGCCCACGGCCGAGGGCAGGCCTCGAGTCTCCGGGTCAGGCGGCTCTGGCCGCCGAGGGGCGCAGCTCCTGGGCCTAGGTGGCAGGGTCGGCGGCCTTCGAGCCTCCTCGGGCTCCTCCAGGTCCGGGGCCTCATGCTGGGCGGCGGCCGCCCAGGTGGAAGGCGCGGGGCCCGGGCCTGTCCCCAGCCCTGGCGGGAAGCTCTGAAAGCTCAAGGCAGGAAACCAGCAGTACTGCGCCCTTCGCAGCGAGCACCGCCGCCAAGCAGGGCCACCGAGCTGGAAGGGCAGGAGGCGGCGTGGGGGCTGCGGCGGCCGCTTGCGGCCCACGGGCAGCCAACTGCCCACGGGCTTCTTAAACTGGGGCGACACCCAGGCCGGGAGGGGCTCGCGGTTGGCCGGCCGCAGAGGCGCGAGCCTCGAAGGCGCGGGGCAGGGCCTCGAAGAGCCTCCGCCGTGCTTGGGGCCCTCCAGCAGCCGCTCCCGGAACGACAGTTGAGCCTTGCGCAGCGGGCCGTTGCTCTTCTTCTTGCGAGGCATCGACGGGAGAGGGAAGGGCAGTGGGCAGCTTCATGATGCCTGCCTGGGGGAGGCTGAGGGGCAGAAGTCGGTGGCGGGCACCGGTCCTCACCTAAACCTCCTGACCGAATACATGACCAATTTCCCCTCCAGCTCTGGCTCTGGCCGCAGACAGTCCGGCCTGCAAAGCCCAGACGCGGCCATGCCCCGATTGGTGGACACCCTCCTCACACGTGACTGGAAACCCTCCTTCCCCTAATGTATTTCCTGCTGTATATTCTTAGGATGATTTATAAAGTGTGCTCGAGGATTATTTTTTATTGTGGAATGGTGAGAGTCCTGTGTTTGGTGTCAAGAAGATCTGGGTTCTAATTAGATACTAGCTCGGTAACCTCCAAGAGCCTCAACTATCAGAATTGTAACAGTCATTCCATATGCATTTGGTACTTTGTCTCAGGCACTATGCCAAGAGTTAGGGTAACAAAAAACGCCAAAAAACAATCCCTGCTCCGAAGGAGTCCATAGTCTAATGAGGAATTCTCGGTTATCTCAAATGTTAATAGTCAATCAGCAAGCATATATTAAATACTCCTGATGTGCTAATATATTGAGTTCTGAAGGTACAAGGAAGAGGTGGGGTCGGGGGTAGGGGAAGAAAAGGATGAGCCCCGAGTGCTTTCAAAAATTTTAGTCTGATGGAAAAGATGAATGGACTACCTGACCTCTTAGATTCCTTCCAGCCCTAAATTTATTATTCTAACTTAGCCAAACTTGGATGGAGCTTGCATGAAAATGGACCTTATGAACCAGGGAACAACGAACCCCTTTTTAGACATCACCTCCAAGTTCCCTTTACCCCTAAATTTATTGTTCTGGTTTAGCTGATGTTGGGACTTGGGTAGGAATGAGCCTACCCTGGCCATCCCAGAGAGTATAAAGCTATTCTCAGGGATATTCTAACCCTCGTTGCTGTGATCTTGTATGTGTATTTTATAAGGAAAAATGAGATGGCCAGTGCCTTGTCCACTGAAACAAACTAATGCCTATGTTGATTCCCCTAGTACAAGAGTCTTGCTGGCCACTTTTAGAAGGATAGGTAGCTTTAACGAAGCTCTATTTCACACTACTAGCTACAGTCACCACCCACATTTGCTTTGAATTCCCCTAAGACCTTTACTAGAAGTTAAGTCTTACTTAATAGAGTACTTAGTAAAAACAAAACCAAAAAAACTAGTTAATAACAAAACAGCAAGGCTATTGAGAGAACACCTATATGATTACCTGGCTCTACACTATCAGTCTTACAAGGGCTCTCTTCAAACTTGATAACTCGCATTTATATTTATATGGAGCTTTAAAGTTTGCAAAGTATTTTACATTATCTCCCTTGAGTTTCACATCTGTGAAGTAGATATCACCTGCATTATCCCTGTTTTACAGATCAGGAAACTGATACTCATTGAGGTTAAATGACTTGCCCATAGGAAGGAAGATGGTGTGCATTCATTCAACAGGTATCAAGTGCCTGCTCTCTGCCATGCGTTGTGTTAGGCCTGTGCTAGGCATCGAGGATACCAAGAAAACAACCCTAGACTTCAGGGAATTTGCAATCTGTTGGGAAACAACACAAGATCAGAAAGGTGGACACAAAACTTAGGGGTAGGATGCTAGCCAGGGGAGTGTGTGTGTGTGTTTTGAGGGGGAAGGATCTAGATAAGTTTCCTCTAGGAGTTTGCACTTGGGCTAGATTTTAAAAAGGTAGAGATTCTAGGAAGTAGAGGTGCCAACAGTGTATATTCTAAGCCTGGAAGATAGATATACAAAGATAAACTATTGTTTAGGGGAACAGAAAGTAGGCCGATTTGGAATGTAAAGTGTGTGAAGGGAGAGTAATATGCAGTAAACCTAGAAAGGCAGTCTGGCACTAGACCATGAAGAGTTTTAAAAGCCAAACAATGTCAGAGGCAGGATTTAAATCCAGATGTTTATGATCCCAAGTTCACTCTATCCACTTAGCTATACTGATTCTCCTGGGGGAAAGTAGCTGATTTAATATTGGCCCCTAAGATATCAAGCAAGAAAAACATTTTTCCTGTATCCACCCCCCCCCCAGCATTTCAACACAATTTTTTTTTTTTTACCAGCTCTAATGATCTTATGTAAAGCATTCAATACATCTGTGTATCCTTAGGCAAGTTACTTCCCTGAGCTTCAATTTTCTCGTCTGTTAAATGAAAGGAGTTGGGTTAGGTGACCTCTGAGACTTTTTCCATATCTAAATCTGTGATCGTGTGACCCAAATTAAATCCCATCCAAAGAGATAAATTAGTGTCTTTGTAACCAAAAAAAAAAAATCATGTAAAAATACACAGGTAAATGAAAGTCTCCTTGAGTTTTAATTTCTTGCAGGCAAGGGTAATGTCATTTATATTTGTATTTGTACTAGAGCTTGCTCAATGTTTGTTTAATGAATGAATGAATAGTATCATGCCAATAGAATATCCTGTAGAACCCCACCCCCAGACACACACAACACAAACACACACACACACACACTGTAAAACCTCATTTTACAATAGTTATTATCTTTACTTTCTAGAGGCATCGTGGTATAGTAGAAAGAACATGCGGTCTGGAGTCAGAGGACCTGGCCTCTGCTGCTTACTCTGACCTTGGTCAAGTCCCTTAACCTCCTTGGGCCTCACATTCTTCATCTGTAAAATGAAAGGCTTGGACTGCATGACTTCTGAGGTTTCTTCCAACTCTAATATATGATCCTAAGTATGTCCTTAAAGTAGTAACGTGGATTTTGATTTATAGGTAAAAGTTAGAGAAGCCCCTTTCTTACACCCCCCCACATCTGTCTTTACAGATCTAAGCACATCCAGTACTTTAAAAGTAGTAAATTCTTGATGCAGCCTTCAATGAAAGAATATGAGTCAGAAAGCAGCTGGTAAACTAAAATCAAGTTGCAGAAAATAATGTAATAGTGCAGTGCTGGCAGACTAGTCTTGTTAGAAAAAGATTGCTTGTGCCCCAGCTTTTTTAAAACTGCTTTCCTCTTCTGTATATTTTTAAAACTTAAAAAGCTTTTAGCTTTACAAACCTCCTACTGCTTTCAACCTGTTTCTCACTACTGGATAGAGAATAGGTGTTGATTTTTTCTTCCTGCAGATGGGCCCTTATGATCCTAGTGAGAGAGCCTTGGAGTTAGTCATTCAAATAATATTAATTTTAAAAATCAAAGCACTACATACTGAGAGAAAAAGTAGGGAATGGTTACTTAAATGTTAGTAACTAAAGACCTAGAAAGGATGAATACTGATGGGAGAGGCAGATGCTTGAATAATATCAAGATAAAAATAAAATTGATCAAAACTGAGAGAGCAGGGAAGTCAGCCATATGACTAACTGCCAGATAACATTAGCTGAAAAAAGGCAGAGAACATAGAGATTTGGATTACATACAAACTTTTAAAAATAATAGGTCAGCAAAATGAAAAAAAAAACAAAAGAGTAAATGATTAGCTGAATAACTGGACAACTTAAAGTTTCTCTGGACCTCAGTTCCTACATCTGTAAAATAAAAATATTGGACCATACTTGTAGTTCTCAAACCAATTTTGTGCAACTCTTGTGTGTTCCACCTAATGTGAATAGGGGTTCCATGACAAAACTTGAATGTTAGCTATATTTTCCTTCTATAATAAATTTTGGATTATCAAAATGTCTGTCATATATAGCCAATTTATTGTGAAAATTGGCTAAATTTCCTCTGTTCTCAAATATCCCCAGCTCTCATATCAATATATATCCTATATTCCCAACCCCACTCCAGATGAACATTTATAGATTCTATCAAAATAATTCAGGTCATAAGTACTTCATATCAAAATCAGTTTGGAAAATGTTGGACTCTGATTCTGTGATTTCAGAGGTATGAAATAATAAAAGAGAATTTCAGTGTTGAAAGGGACATAAGCAATCATCTAGTTAAACCTAAATCTGGACAAGGATCTGTCTACAACATAGCCTTGGCATGCAATCCACAAGGGTAGATCCATCACCTTTCAAAGATTTCAAGTTCCTGAGACTTTTGAAGAGCTAGATTTGTTAAAAAGTTTTTCCTTTCATCATACTGTAATCTGTATCTGAACTTCTGCCTATTTCTCCTACTTCTCCTTTCTGGGACAAAATGGTAAAATAGTATCGGTGATGTCTTTTGACCTGTACACAAATATGATTTAAGTGAGGCAGAGTTGCTCAAGGTCATAGGCCTCACTCTCTCTTTCAGAGTCATCAGAGTCCAGTGGCAAGACAAAAATAAAAAATCAACATTATTTGTGATGGCTCAGCATGCATTGAATGACCTTGGCATCTTCAAAGTCTAACCAACTTCTATCAGGGGTGGGGAACTTTTGGCCTCAAGGCCATACATGGCCTTTTATATCCTTGTGTGCAGCCTTTTGACTGGGTCCAAGTTTTACAGAAAATATCCTATTATCAAGGGGATTTGTTCTATGAAGCATGAATTCAGTCAAAGGGCAGCACTTGAGGACCTAGAAGGCCACATGTGGCCTCAACGCCTCAGGTTCCCCACCCCTGCAGAGTCTAAGTGCTCCATAGTGTCTGCTTTCCATCACCTTCATGGCTTGTTGGAAGAAATTGATCACATTCACCCATTTCTCCCCTCCCCCCAGAAGTCTTCACACTCTTGGGGTAGATACCCCCCCTAACTCGAAGGCTTAAGGCCCATTGGTTACTCTCAATTTGGTTTAGTCAGTTGACTGAGTGGTTTATAGTTGTGTGGTCACTATGCATGCTATAGCTTCTTGAAGCCACAGGTGAGAGTGCCACCATGACATGTGGACAACAAAATTGGAAAGCACCTCTGAAAAGGTCTTGACAGCTCTCACACCAGAGGTACTAGTCTTCCCTGAACACCTGTACACCTCTAGCTGCCCTGCCAAGCATTCAAACTCTACTGCAGAGAGTATAAGTCTGATGAGCTGGCCATATCG